AAAAAAATGGTTCTTTAAAGAACTGTTCACTGAAAGGTTCTTTGAGGAGCCTTCTATGGCATCGCTACGAACCCCCCTTTTGGAACCTGTTCTGCCATTTATATTCACATGGTTTTTACCTTTGATAATGAAGACTTTGTCATCCAAAGGACTATCGAATGCTGCATCAGTATGATCTGTCATTGTCATTGAACTTCATGAAATTATACATTAATGCTAGAATAATTTATTTGTATTGTTGCAGATCTGTAACCTCTCCAGTCAAACCTGGTGTGACGTCCCATATTAAAATTATGATGCGTTTTTGGTACGGTGTTTGTTTTTTCCCTCCCCTTTTTTTCCCTCTTTGTCTTTACTTTCGTTTTCAGCAGGGAGACGCGGGTACCTGAGTGGTCTAATTCTGTCAACCATCAAGATGCTTAGTGACGACAGCGTGCGGCTTCACCAATGAGGGCACATTATTTGATTATAAAAACTGCACATGTGCGAGAAGCGGGAGTTCTCTTGCATGCGAGAGCACTCGTTTTGTTGTGATGGCACTTGCGTGCTTTTGTTTGTTTGTTTGTTTGTCCCATACCATCTTAATGTTTGGACACGGTTTGTGGTAAAGTCTGTGTTCTTTGATAACTTGGTGATGTAGGATCTATGTCTCACAACAGACCCACCTACAGGATGGAGACACGCATCAAACCCTCACATTCCATTGAGACAAATCAAAGGACACCTATCCAACAGATGCAGTGGTAAACTCATGCAGGGTCAGGGAAGGTGAAGCATTTCCTGGACTGTTTGGCTATCTCTCAAGACATGCCAAAGAAGACAGTACTTTCACAGTGCTTAAAAGCGTTTTACGGGCTTGCAAGGAGCAGATAGGGATACCCCTGACCCTTTGAATTATAAATTGCTAAAACCCGATCAACAAAAGAGACAATTTTATAGCTCCCTGTCCCGCAGGAGATTCTCCAGCAGACGCTCAGGTCTGACCTGAGAGTGACCGAAGGACCCTTCCCTTTTCCCCCGCATTCCAAAGGAAAGAGACAAGATTTCGTCTGACAATCGTTGCTAATCATTGAAAGTATAAAATTAGCCGAGCATAGAATCACAAATAGTAGGTTGTAGGTTGTATATACAGTGGGTACGGAAAGTATTCAGACCCCCTTAACTTTTTCACTCTGTTATATTGCAGCCATTTGCTAAAATCATTTAAGTTAATTTTAATTTAAACATCATACCTGCATCAATTAAGACTGTTGATTCTTATTAACTGGTTGTTCCATCAAATATAAGTGCTGTTGCATTGTAGTGAATCTGATTTCTCTTTGTATAGACACTATATCTAAAATAGACAAAGTGAAACATTAAAGACCAATTGAAGTGTTGAGTGAACACATATGATGATGGTAAGGCACAAGACAGGTGTTTATTTGTATCCAGATGTTTATTGTTGCATAAAAATGTACAACCAAAGAGAAATGTTCAAATGCATTACATTCGCTGACTTAATGGACATCAATTTAAATGCTGTGAATTGAATTGTCCACAAAGCATGACCTGTAAAGAAATATTGTTAAAAAAAAGTAAGAAAAAGGAAAAAGACATTAAAGAAAGCGCCAGAACACTGCAGATTCTAATCTGTGTGTATCTTATCATTTCCTACAGTTACTAGCTCTCATCCTTCCATGTTTGAGGCCGGTTACATATAGAGCGACTGAATCCCACTGATGTCATCACTGGACAGAGAGAAACTATCCGGATCAGTAAAGCTGTATGTGGGGAACATCAGAGCGCCAGGAACGTTAGTATGAGAAAGACCCAAAGAGTGACCAAACTCATGTGCAGCCACCAAGAACAGGACATGACCTGTGGAGAAATTAAGCAGAATAGTTTAGGTACAAATGAAAAAGATTAATTGCCACTTTAGATTTTTTTACTTGAAATTAAAGTGGTGTCAAAGTTGAAACTTTGAAAAATATTTCAGCAAAATAATATCACCTCTTGATGAGCGCAAGGTGAAAAACTCATCATCATCGAAATGTGCATCTCCACCGATTCCAGAAGAAGGAGGAAAAGCATGAGCCAAAGTGCCTTGTGGTCCATCAAATGGCTGAGCATCGCCATGAACTGTGGGAAAGAGTTTAGTTGACTTCTTCTCTCCTTACATTCATATATAGGTGAAACGTTGAGAATCTGTATTTTAAAAATACTAAATTGTTGTGCATTGAATTGAGTTGAACGGTTCTGAATCTAATCGGGACTTTTTTTTAGCATTTCTGTGTTTTATCAACACAAACAAGAGCAACATTTTGTTTATGTTTTTAAATGTTACGATTAAAAAAACAGTTTAACCTTACAAGCATTACCAGGGGTATAAAATACTTAGTTAGTACAAATGAGACTTGATTACTGTACTTAAGTATTATTTTGGGGGATTTGTACTTTACTCAAGTTAAGTACTATTTATAATGACTTCTTGTACCTTTACTTGATTACATTTCTGAAGAAAAAATAGTACTTTTTACAGTTTTATGGTAACTTGTAAAGTACTCATTATATTTTTGCATTTTATTTTTCTTCTGCAAATGCATTTGCAGTTTCAGCTTCAGTTATAACTTTCATCATGGACATTTCTGGCTTCAAAAGTAGCCATCAAATCTGAGGAGGAATACTGAGACAGCAAAGTTGCTTTTTTCCCCAAAAAGTTTCTTGATTATTTTTGTCCAAATCGAATTAACATTATATGTTAAATTAATCATAAATCAAGTTTAGTGATGGGTCTTAGAAGGAATTGGATGAATGGCATTATAATGATTTATTGATATTACATGATTTGTTCATTAATTGATTAATCGTAAATAATTACATACCAATATTTGCTGAGAAAAAAAGAAGTCAGTATTGTATGTTTTAATTGTCACAATTTTCTATTTACATATTTTATTTAGGTATATGTTTTACTTATAAAAGCATTGGTTTAACAATATTTTACCTTAAAAGTAAACATAATGCCTTGTTAAAAATAATACACAGTTGCAGCATATATAAGGTAACAAATTCATACTTTTATCTTCTAGTTAAAATTAGATGTATTGCCTCTAAAAATGTTATATTAATGATTCTAAATTGAAAAGTAACTTAAATGGTAAAGTAACCTGGTAAAGTAGTCTGTTACTACATTAAAACCTTTTTATTCTATGAAATGCTGAAACATCCAAAGAAGATGGCAACACTTAAAAGACCTCCTCTCACATCCTGAAATAGAAAAATTGTATATTTATTCACTTATAAAATGGTAAATGTTGCATTTTATAGGGTTAGGTAGGATTTCCGTTAGAGTTTGGTTGCACTAATTGCTATTTGCTTGTTTGTGTAAAGAGAGTGAGGTGTGCTTGAGGTGTTATGTAAGATCTGCAGGTAACGCCAGCTGTCTTCACTCTTTATAGTCAGAGGAATGAGTAATACTTTATAATGAATACACCAATGACTGAGACTTTAAAAAATGCATAAGCACTATAAAGCTATAGTGAAAGTGGTCCATTTGACTTTTAAGCTCTTCGGAAACCATATGGTATTTTTGTGAGGAAGCGAAATGTATGTCAGTAATTCAACATCAAGTGGGACGCCCACTGTGTGCAGAACTGCAGAAACAGAAGTTTCTGCCTCCAGAAGTTACTGTTTCACTTTTACACTTTACAGACATTTTAAAAAAGAGGGTTGATGGTGGGAGCATGTGAAGACATGGATATTAGACATATTATATTAGACAATGCGAGTTAGGCAGGGACTCAGATGAGTCAGGAGGACAGCAAAGAGGAGATTCCAGATTTGGGTGACATAGATATATGAAGAATGGGAACATCTTAAACTGTCATTAACGTGGCATCGCCCTTGAAAAACAATTGATGTGTCCAAGTAGTGATAACTGCAGGCTGGAGCAGTGAGCGTGGCGGAAGATTAGGGCATGGGGCGTGGATAAAGGTCTTTCTCATTGGTTAGGTTTAGGGTTAGGGGTTAGTTTCTGTATAGCGCACCTTTTGCCATGCTTCCCCTCTCGATGTGTCCTTTGTTTTTGATATCTTTTCCCATATACAGGACTTTTTTTCTGTGTAGGTGGGAAGGAAATGTTTGAAGGAAATGTTAAAATAACTATTATATTATACTATAATTAAATTATTGTCTAAGTTTATCATAGCACACATTTATTGTATCTATCACTATAATAATCATGCATTTTTTATCTTTTTTTGTATGTGCCTTTCATTCTTTCCTTTGTATAAGTTATTTTGTCATATTGGATTTACATTAAAACAACATTTAAAAACAAAAAATAAAAGGAAAGGAAATATTTCTTACCTTGAATATGTGGGTATAAAAGAAAAGATTATATGTACTAAAATTACATCTACACCAAAATATTTTATATTATCATTAAATATTTAAAGATTTTTAGTAGTAGTAATATTTTAAATAGGTGTTAGATATTTAATAATAATATAATACAATATATATAGTAAAAAAAAATACATCTATTAAAAACTTAGACCAAATATTTATATTATTAAAAATGTTATTATTAGTAGTATTATTATTATATACAATCATCAATATGATTACAAATTATAATAATCTTTTTTTTTTAAACCTGATTTTTATTTTCTGTAATTTAGCATAATTTTTCACACAGACTTGAAACTGTCACACCCCTGTGGACGGTTGATTGTGGTTTCTCCCTCTGTGTCCTTATTTGGTTGTTCCTGTTCTAATCATTAGTTAATTACCCTCATTGTGCTCACCTCTCTGCCACCAATTATCCACCCTATATTAGTTCCTGTCTGTCTGAGCTTTAGTTGTCGGTTATTGTGAATGTTACCCTGTGTGTTGATGTCTACCCTGTCTGGATCTCCTGTTGTCATATCATTAAATATCCTTTTATTCGTCATCTTCGTCATCCTGCCTCCGTGTTCTCCCCTTCGTTTGTTTTCCGGTTGTTCCTCAGTGTTTTTCTTTCCGTTGTGTTTACCCCATGGATCCCTTCACGCGCCCCGAATTCTTCCTTCTCCTGATGGAGCAGGAGGGCAGGACTCTCGAAGACCATACCAGACTGTTCCTGATGGTCGCTAACGTCAACCGCTATCCGGACGACGCGCTCTGCGCTTTCTATGAGGCGGTCGTCCGAAGATGGACCTCGGGAGGAATTTGCTGCCTTCGTGGAGTGGACTCTGGCGAGAAACGGGTCGCCACTCACCATTGGCTCCGTGGATGATCTCGCCGGATCCAATTTGGACCCAGAGCCCAGCCAACCATCTCCCCATGGTACGGACCATCAGCCAGAGCCCACCGATGATGGAGAGCCATTTCCCACCGCAATCCGTGAGCCAGAGCGAAGCCAAGCGACTGAGCGGAGGATCACCTCGGATGTTGAGCCCAACCCATCAGACCAGGTGCGAGAGCCGGTGACAGTGCCCACCACGAGGGAGCAAGCCATGGACGTTGTGAGTGTGGCGAGGAGCTCCGCCCCCTGCATCCTGGCTGAGGGTGAGCTGACTATGGCGGGACATAAGGGCCAGAACAAGGAGGGAATTCGGTGTCAAAACGAGGAGGAAAGACCTCGGAATCCTCAGTTCAGCCCAGGAAGGGCTCCCGAGCCCCAGTTCAGCCCGGGAAGGGCTCCCGAGCCCCAGTTCAGCCCGGGAAGGGCTCCAGCTCAAGAGCTCTCTCCAGTGCCCGCTCCTCAAAAATCCCCGCCCTCCCACCAGCATCCTCCACCGCTGTCAGCTGGCAGCCCCTCTGCTCGCCCTCAGCCCACCATCGCGGTGCAAGCCCGCGGGACTGCCATCCTCCAGCGTCGCCATGGTCGGAGTCTCCCTCACCTCTGCCTCCAACCTCCGAAGCCGGGACTCCGCCTCGGTCCGTAGACCCAGTGGCTCCACCTCAGCTCCTAGCTCCCTCGCCTCCACCGTCACCCATCGATCCATCAGCTCCACCGTGCTCCCTTGTCCCTCCGGCTCCACCTTGGTCGGGCATCGACCCGCCATCGCCTCTGGACTCCTCTCCTCTGGCTGCGCCTCGTCGCTCTGTCCCACCGGCTCCGTTGGGCTCCTTCCTCCCTTCAGCTCCACCGTGGTCCTCAGTCGCTCCGGCTCCGCTGCGGATCTCTGGATCTCCCCCTCGGTCGCCAAAGCCCTCGGCTCCACCCTGGCCCCCCGGATCCTCGGCATCGCCCTGGCTCGTTGGCTGTCTGTCTCCGCCTCGGGCTCCTCCGCCGCCGTTGGTCGGCCCCCTGGAATTGGCAGTCATCCCTCCTCCATGGCTCCTCCCATTGTCGGCTCCACCGTGGGCCGCTGTTATGGCTGTGGCCTGGGTCCTGCTGAGCTCCTCCTGCTCTGGGTCCCTCCTGTCTCCTCCCTGGCTCCTCCCTCCTTCGTCGCCCCCCTGGTCTCTGTCTGCCGGCCTCCTCCCGGATTTCTGTCTCCCTCCTCTGCCTGAACCTCCACCTGTCATGTCTGTCTTCCAGCCCTTTGCCTTCCCCTGTCACCATCCCACATCCACTCCTTTTGTCCTCCTCCTAAATCCCCCTCTGTCCCTCCCTCGGTCTCCGGGAGGGGGCGATCTGTCACATCCCTGTGGACAGTTGATTGTGGTTTCTCCCTCTGTGTCCTTATTTGGTTGTTCCTGTTCTAATCATTAGTTAATTACCCTCATTGTGCTCACCTGTCTGCCACCAATTATCCACCCTATATTAGTTCCTGTCTGTGTGAGCTTTAGTTGTCAGTTATTGTGAATGTTACCCTGTGTGTTGATGTCTACCCTGTCTGGATCTCCTGTTGTCATATCATTAAATATCCTTTTCTTCATCATCCTGCCTGGTCTCTGGAACACCCTGCCCGTGACAGAAACATCTGTGATCACCTGATTATGTTTCAGGTATTATAGTGATTTCATCCATGTACTGTAGCAAAATTCTAATTGGTTTGTCTCAGTCTTCCCTATTTAACAATCCTACATTTGGTATCAGACAGATTAATAAACAATAATAAAAAACAATATTCTGATTATTCAGCAAATTGCTCAATTCTTTATTTTTAAATTGCATCAATCATAAAACATGTTTTATTTTGACATTTTGTTGCCAAGGATACTAAAATACCTACTTTTTGGTCAAATAAATTAGAAGTTAATAAGTTACTTGTTTACTTTAAAATACTGACGGTTCAGATTTTACATTGTGCAGGGCTGCAGGCAGTATATTGCTGAGCTTTAAAGAAAAACTCAACATTGACTAACAGGGCAGGAAATAATTGTTGTTGAGAACACGGAGCAGCTTGTTGTTGTGTGTGCCAAACTCAAACATATTTGGTCCGCTGAAGATATAGTTGAAACCTAAAAATTATCATAAAAAACTGTGTTAGATGGGGTTTTACTTCAGATTTTCTTGTTTGTAAGTCACTTTGGATAAAAGCATCTGCTAAATGAATGAATGTAAATAAAGGTATGCAAAACCCATACCTTTATACTGGAAGGCTGCGGTCACCTTCCCTGTCATTCCAGAGAAAACTTCTTCCACCAGTTTAGAATAACCTTACTCCAGTTTGCGTTATTCTTCATTATAACTGTACAAAATAAATTAATGCTACTTGAGGATTCCTGAAAAAGATGACCAGCTCGATCAGATTAAGTGATTTACTGACCTATAAATCTGGTTGTTAACGAAAAACAGGATTTTGTAGCTTGTCTCATCGTAGAGGACTGCGTCTATTTTCTTCACTTTTCTTGGCAAACTGAATATGCTGATACTTTTG